TATAATAAAGTTTATAAAATATGTTTTTAAGAATATATTTCATAAGCAAAGTATACCCTATATTATTAATAAATTATAGTTTTATTTAAAAAATACTAAATACAATTTAATTTTCCAGGCAAATTTGCCTGAAATACAGTTTAAGAGATAATTAAAATTTTAAAACTAAAAACAAAAATTATAATTTATAACTGAACACACTTTAGAAAAGACTAAGAACAACTAAAAAAATATATTATATAATAAAAAAAAATAAAATAAAAAAATGCATTTATAAAATATAATAAATAAAATTTTAATTTTAAAAGAACTTAACAAAAAAAGACCAAATATATACTTAATAGCAAAATCCCAAATTTACTAAAACAAAGTAAAAAAAATATAAACATATCTGATATTTTATAAAGTACAACCAAATTTTTAAAAAAAAATTTAAAAAATAACTATAATAATAATATAAAAAGGCTTAAAAGAAAAAAAATTTCAAATCTTATTATATATGCTATATATAACACTTTTTTAAACAAATAAAATCTGAAAAAATAAAAATAAAAAAAATGCTAATTAAAAACTTAATTCTAAAAAAAATACAAAACAAATAGATATAACTTCTAAATACAAAGTTAAAACAACAGTTTGCAAATATGATAACAAGAACAGTTTAAAACACTTAATATAAACAAATTTAAAAAACATAATATAAAAAGATTAATAAATAAAAAAAAAATAATAAATAAAATAAATAAAGAAACTTAAAAAAGAAACCTAAACAAAAAAAATAAAAAAAAATAAAAAATAAAAAAAAAAAAATTGAAAAAAAACTAAAAAAAAAAGTTAAAACTTGTTATAAAAGAGAAAAAACCCTCTTAATACCAAAAAAAAAAAAAACCTTTCATTACAGACTTTAAATAATCAAGCAAATAACTTACTTTTGTTTAAAATAATATGAAAAGTTACACTTAGGTACTATTAGATGATTAGATAATGCTAAACTTAGTTGTTAAATATATTTATGTAATTGTAAAAATAATTTCAAAAATCTTAATAAAGTACTAACATAACTGCTTAAGAAAAAAAAAAGTATAAATATAATGCAAAAAGTTTTATTAACAGTTATATAAAATATTTTAATGTTTATAAAATTATATTAGTTCTACATATATACCAAATATCTTTTTAAAAACTTATTATTGTAATAAGTTGAAACATTTTGAAAATTAAAATTTTATATAAATTTTTGATTTTTTGTTTTGGTACATATGTAGAGCTAATATAGCTCTATAAAGTTACTAGTCAGATGTTTTTAAAACTTAAATAAAATTATAACCATCTAAAAAATCGTAACTGTTGAATATAAACTTCCTGCACCATATCAATTCTCGAATTTTAATGCTTTATCTCGACAAATTTCACGATTTAAATAGTTTAAAAAAAGATCTAATTTTTTATATGGTATAAAACGAATTATATTCGGTTATCCTGAAATACCGTTAGATCTTCCACAGTATAAGTTGGATATAAAGCAAAGATTAGTTTATCTTTTAAGAACATCATCATGCTTGTTATATCGAAAAGCGTTTAGATGTCAAAAGAAGAAAAAAAAGCTTATTATTTTGTATCTTGTAAACAAGAAAATCGATTATATAAATTTAATAAGTAAAAGGAATTCTGACATAAATTCCTAATTTCAGGCAAAGGAAATAACTTACAAAACTTAGTATAAGCTTACTAACCAATATTTGTAGGTATTGAAATTTCGCTTATAAAGTCAATATTCGATGATAACAAGCATAAAGTAATACGAAACAATAAGTTCTTTAAACTAGTAAGACACCATTAAGACTTACCAGTACCTCATAACCTCAAGTTTCTACAAATGCAATGCTTTATATAAATCAGAGTTTATTGTGAAAGGTGTATAAAGAGGTAAAAAAAAAAAAAAAAAGCAGAATCGAGTCCATACGAGTAAAACAAAAAGAAATAAACAAATAGGAAGAAACCTATGCACTAAAGACTACACCAACACGCCACAACAATAAAGGGACACAAGGGAAGGCACATAATAACATATTTTTTGTAATGCAACAAGATATCTATAGAACTCATTAAATTTAGCAACTAGAGTTCTGTGTTGCCAACCTTTTGCCCCCTATACCGTATTACACTATTATGAAATCCAAATTATATTGTGAGAAATAAAATTGCAAAAAGTAAATATGTGCCAAAATAGATAAATATCTCAATCATTACTTACTAGCATATTTGCGCGTCCATTCTCGAGCTGTCGCTTCATAACGGGCGCGGTCGGTCTTATAAACATGAGCAATTTCAGGTACAAGCGGATCGTCTATAGTGGATCAAAATTATTTTAGTAGCCGTGCAACATGTTTAATCAAATAAGTTTAATACATACCTGGGTTAGGGTCAGTCAACATCGAGCAAATAGACAAGAGCACTGAAAAGGGTAATTATTAACGTATATTAGAATTTATAGGAGAATAATTACGATACATTTAAGTAAATGAAATATTGTACCTTTCGAAATGGTAAGAGCAGGTGACCACTGATCTCTTAGAATATCTAGGCATATACTTCCATTACTGTTGATATTCGGATGGTAGATTCTTGTTGTAAAATTAACCTTTAAATGCATATATATAACGTTTCATTTATGTCAAAAATGCTTAAAAATGCCAGTCTTCACAAAACAAATTATTAGTGTGAGATGATACCTTTGGTGGTTTGAATGGATAATCTGTTGGAAAGTGGATGGCAAGAAAAAATACACCACCAGTGTATGGAGATTCGGTCTAGTGCCGATAAAAACAAAACAAACCAATTCTAGTATTATTTCAAATGAATACTAAGGGCGTCAAATATTACTTACAGGGCCCATAATCGTTGCTTGCCAATGAAAAAGATCTTCTCCAATAGGACCAGCGCTGCAAGACGAAGGTGGGTCTCGCCCTAAGTCGTGCAATTCCTATAAAATAAATAAAATAAGCATCAAAAGAAAAACGTCGCAGTCAAGTTTAATATTCTTCGACCAATATACCCAGTGTTAGCTCTAAATTACACGGGCTTTACTTGTTTTGCTATTTAAAGAGTATTGTATCATTTTACAATCAAGTTTAAAAACGAAGTCGACAACATAGTGGAAACTATCAAGCCCTTGATCTGGGTAGCTGCAACGCCTTTATTAAAAGCGCTGCTTTAAAATAAATAGCATTCTTTGAGATTCGTAAAATACCCAACAGGGATAAAGCCACAAAAGTCCGAAAAAAAAAGACCAAACATGTTTAAACGAAGTAAGGCAAATATATTCCTGTGACCTTTTAAATACTTCTCTTAACTTACTTTATTAATTCTTTTCAGAGCCATTTCGTTTGTTGCAAGTAGAAATTATTAAGTAGAAAAAAGTATGTTATAGAAAGAGATGAACAAAGTCCTTTTTTTTAAGGTTACAAGGCTAGTTTACCGCGGGGGTGTGGAATATTGTGGAAGGTTAAGATTGATTACCAAGGCAATCAATTTGGGTTTGGGGAGTGACCGGTTTTTTTATAAATAGTAATAAATAGCATGACCTTGCAGTTGGTTTAAACCCCCGTACTCCGCAGCTAAATTGAGTCATCACGTGATACCACCTCTTTACGAGTTTTTAGATTCGCGGAGCTGCATTTAAAAATTCCGACAAGTTTAATCAGCGTATTATGAAATATTGAACTATATAAAATGGGATAGACTAATTTTCATTGTGAAACAATACAAATCGGAATCTTTATTGGAAAATATTCATTTTTAATATGATCAGCTATGTCATTAAGATAATGTCTAAATTTGTTAATTATTACATGTAGAGTTTAAATCATTATCTGAATCACAGCTATGAAATAACCAATACAAGCTCATTTTCCAGCAAGCAGGATGCTGAAAGGTCACATATATTTGATATTTACTACTTAAACTTTTATATCTAATTTATAGCTATTATTTTCGGGCCTTCATTGATTCGAAAGCTTTTGCTCGCAATTTTTCAAGTTGTTCTAGTTCAGACATTGACGCCTAAAAAAAATAATAAAATAATAATATATATATATTTATTTATATAGTATATATAATTTTAATATCAGATTTTTATCTTCAAAAAATGAAATTTGTCTAAATATACCTTTTTATTTTCCTCCTCGTCTTCATCATCGTTCCATTTTGACTTGAAAATAGGTGCATCTGCTACCTTTTTTCTAGGAGGTGAATTTTGAACTGAATCAATTTCTTCTACTGAATCAACCAACCTTTTCCTATTTTCATCTTCGGTTGCAACATAGTCTGTATGTTGATCATGATAATTTCTTCCTGGAGAAGGAGTAGAGCTATACTGTTCAGAAGATACCTTTGTAACAATTTCTTCCTTCGAAAGACGACGCCGTTTACTCGTATCCTCTTCCTCTCGACTCCTGCTACGACGTGGTCTCCTTTCATCATATCGTCGTTTCTCTTTACTTCGACTTCTGCTACCGCGTCGGTGGTTTTTATGCCTTCGGCGTTCTCCACTACGTTCCCTGGTAATTCGATCTCTGCTCTTACTTCTACTTCTTCTATGCGATCGTCGTTGATGTCTACTCTCAGCGCTCCTACTTCTGCTTCTCCTATGGGATCGTCGTTGATGTTTATTTTCGGCGCTTCTACTTCTACTACGACTACGAATCCGGTGAGAATTTCTACTTCTACTACGTCGTCGGACCGATTTCTGGTCACGATCCTATAAAGATTAGCTTGTAAGACGAAATTGATTTGGAATGAAACAATGGCAATTCGGTTTATCAACCCCAACCGCCACATTAATTACATAAATTTTAAATTCACACTATACCCGTCTTTCCCGTTCTTCTCTACGCTCCTTTTCTCTGATTTCTCTGAATTTTGCTCGTTCTTCATCTTCTCTTTCACGCCTCTTCCGAATTTCAGCCATGACACGCTCATCATCTTCCTGTAATTAACAAGCATTAAATAATACTTTCAAATACGAATACAACTTGATATTGAAATATTTTAAACCTTTCTTTTGCGAATTTCTTCCATTTTCTGCTCAAGAAATATTGCCGGAATTCCACTCTCACAATCTTGAGCTGATAAAAGCAACTTCCATAATTCTGTGACAAAAATAGGAGCATTTCTTTCCAGGAAACCTGTGAGGTTGATTTGCATCATTCTAGGATCAAGATCCTTGTAAAAAATATGGGTCAAGTTACAATTAAAACGTTAATAATATAAAGAAAGTATAACATCAACCATTTTCATAATAAAAAAAGGTGACTAACCGTTTCTTCTAATAGTCCAAACACATAATTAACAACAACCTCATCTTCACCTCCTAATAAATCGACAATTTTTTGTGCGATCCATGGTCTGATAACCGTCATATTCACTTTGTTTAAATCAACCTATCAAATGAAATAAAATGAAAGTAATGATATTTGAGATGAATCGTTTAGATAACAATCAAGACGAATTTTGTACACATTTATCCATTACCACGTTCCCTCTATCAAAGAAATGGCGAAGAAATTATCCAAGTACATTTGAAACCAACGACCCAAAGAAAAGAAAATTGTGCGGATCAGTCCAAACTTTAATCGCAAATATTAAAAAAAATCTATGTTGCCTTAATGGGCGACTGATTATCCAGAAAAAGATAATGGCGAACCATTCTCGGCCTCTTACGAGATTGCATGGATAGCATAGAATCACAAAAAGTAAAACTAAAATTTTTTATTGGATGTGTTCATTAGCAAGGTTCTATAAATTAAATTGGGCCGTATGGTCGACTAAAGATCAGCGAGGCGTGATACAGGACTCAATGTTGAAGAGCAAATTGCCCAACGAATAGTTAAAAAGGGCCATACACAATATCCTTGATTTGTAATAAAAAGAAAAAAGATTCTGATTTACCTTTCTATTGAATTCCGCGGGAAAACTCATGCTTTTCAATAATTTTTTTTGTTTGTCTGAAAATCGGCTATCCTGTTCCAGGCTTGTACCCTGTGTAGATCACAAACAAAGTTAAGACTTCATGACAAATTTCTTTGATACGGAATGATTGAGGTCGAACCTTGAAAAAGCCTCCGTCTCCCATCGTAAATCAAATTTACTTCACAAGGTATTTGAGATGCACTATCGAACACTTTTAGCTTTATACAAGAGGAAGTTCGTCTGATTGGTTAATTTTTGTAGATCTTTCCGTGATTACCCGTGATGAAATTTCTTATTAGCTACTAAATTTAGTACAGAAAATATATTAAGGTAAGATTGTCTTTTTTTTATTAAAACTCATTTAAACTTTTTATAAGTAAAAAATATACAAAAGAAGTTTATATTTGAATTTATATTAAAATTAAAAGCTTAAACAAGTTATTTTGTAATTTAAACTTATTAACAGACAAAGGATATTTTTCTTAAAATATATATATATATATATATTTTTTTTTAATATTAACGGTGAGGCTTAAAATATATATTGTTTATAATAAAAGTTATTCCTTAAACTATAAAACATCTTCAGGCAAATTTGCTTGGAAAATTAACAAAAATACTTATAATTTATATTTTTTAAATTTTAAAATATTTAAATAAAATTTTGTTTGATAATATTTAAAAATAAAAATTATAATATAGTAATATTTAATTTTATATTATAAGAAAAAAAGTTTAAGTTATTTATAAATTACAAATAACCTCTAGGGTCAATAGTATAGCAGTTATGCTCTGAGGTCATAAATCATAAAGCCGTTGGTTCAGATTCTAGTAATGGTAATTGTAGAAATACATTTCTAAAATAGAAAATTGCAACATTGTAATATTAAGAATTTAGAATATTATTAGACAGGCTTATTTATAGAAAAAACAAGTGACCTGTAATTGAGAAGCTACCTGGTAATAAACACAAGTTAGAACCCAAATTGGAATAACTGAAATCATAAGACATAATGTGAAGTTGAAAGTCTGACAATAAAAGATACTATATGAACTTATAGTAATAGTTAGTTCTAGACAGAGTTTGGTGAATCCTTCTAATTTTAACAAAAGTTAGTATAACAGATTGTTTTTAGAAAGTTTAAAAACATGAACCAAAAAAGGTTGAGGTCTAATGACTGAAAATATTAAGAATATTAGTTTAACAATATAGAACATAAAAAAGATCTTTGTAAGATCATCAAAAAAAAAAAAAATTACAGATAAATTTAAAAAAAAAATTTTAATTAAAAAAAATAGTTACTAATTATTGGTAAACATTTAAATATTAAATTTTTTTTTTATTTTTTATTAAACTAGTCTTTTGGGAACTAGGGTTTTTTTATTCAGTATTGTAGAATATGATAACTTATAGTCTGATTACCTCAGAAAAGTTACCTTATATTAGAAAGTATATCTAGCCACACATACACTTTTGGTGTCTAATTTAAGTAGTCTGCCTATATATAGGTTTTACACTAGCTGTTATATCTGCAACCCAACTATGGATATTGCCTATTTAAACCCTCTGTACTGCAATTCTTACTGTTATCACTAGAATATCTCTATTACACAATATTAGTTAAAAAGTTTTAGATGCTTACCTATACTCTTAGGACCTCTGTCTTATTTCATACAGATTATCCTCAAGACATCATTACTAGAATCTTTTGTATTTTAAATTATAGCTAAACCTAGTTTACAACCCTTGTAAAGTTTATACAACCCTAGTACTTTTCTTTTACAACCTCACCATTACCTTGTCTACTCTTGCAAGTCCTCCTATACTGCCAATCCAGTTAGCCCTGCATGATGTGACTTCATACTCAGATCAACCGGTAGCCAAATTGGTGAACCTTTTACTAAGAGGTTCTTGCCTATACAGGTCATCTGCTCTAGGTTTTCTTCAGCAGATCAAGATCTTTACAGGTGGCACTGTTGAAAGTTGTACTACCTCTCTGCTTAGGATTTCCAAGCAGGCTTCTAATCTGAGTATATACTTTCCAGATTTATTTATGTGACATTGCATACTTCCAAAATTAGTCTTGGTATAACCAGAATTACAGGATCTACAAACCCCAGATTACAGATAAGTTTGCTAGAATAGGTCTATTTTTTCAAAATCTGTTGCTGATGAGAATTGAACATTGGGCCTACTGCTTGAAGAATGACAACCTAACCACTATACTAGAATCATCATCCTCAAATATTAATTTTAAACTTATAGTTTTTAATATAATATTATAGTTTATATAAAGAATAATAA